TGGCGCTCGTCTGCGTGGAAGGCGGCACGGCTCCCTGTCCTCCCCAGACCCCCGACGTCATGATTTTTTCATGACGTCGACCCCCCGAGGTCTCGACCCATTCCCCGGGACCGTTTTTTCGTCCTGAGTCGTTTTTTGACGGTCCCGAGGGCCGGTAAGGGCCCCCAAAGGCCAAAAATAATGAAAAACATCCCGTCGAGATTTTTTCATAACTCGAGGGGGTCTGGGTCGTTGTTTCCCCCCGCGGCCAGCACCCGTCTCGGGAGAGCACGCGAGGCGTTCCGGGGAGGCCCTCGCCTTCGAGGGTCGAAGGATTTTGGCATCCCCTCGACGGCGGCAGTCTGCGGATGGCGGTCGAAGTGAAACGAGGGCGCAGAAGGATTGCAAAAAAACGAAGGATTGCAAAAAAAACGAAGGATTGCAAAACAAAAAACGAAGGATTGCAAAAAAACGAAGGATTGCAAAAAAATGATGGCAAAAAAACGAAGGATTGCAAAAAAAAGGATTGCAAACAAACTAAGGATTGCAAAAAAAAACGAAGGATTGCAAAAAAAGGATTGCAACAAAAAGGATTGCAAAAAAAAGGATTGCAAAACGACGGAAGCCGGCCGCCCAAGAGATTGCGTCAGCATGTCTGCGCGGGCACCTCTTGGATCGGCGCTGGCCCCTTCTGGCGGCCCACGACGTCTGCGAGGGGGAGAGGGGGGAGGAGGAGGAGGAGGAGGAGGAGGAGGAGGAGGAGGAGGAGGAGGAGGAGGAGGAGGAGGAGGAGGAGGAGGAGGAGGCCGTTGGTGTTCTGCCTTCGCGTTTTCTGCGCGCACGAGCCGCGGCAGACCGCGCGTTTGCTTGTTGGGCGAGCCGATCCGCTTGCTTCTGGCGCGGCCTGGCTGCTATGTGCCAGCGGCTCGCCCGGACATCTTTCGGGGGAGCGTAAGACCTGGGTTTGCCAGGACTCGGGTTCGCCATCGTTTTTTGACGACCGCGCCTCGGATTTTGACGAGGAGGAGTTTCGTGGGATGTCTGCAGCGGGAGGCCTCGTCAAAATGCAGGCTCGGCCTCGTCATTTTTTTGACGACCTCGTCGGGGATTTCCGAGTCCCCTGTACCCAGGTCTTACGTCGCCCTGAATCTCCTAGGGGAAGGGCGTTCAGGGCGGGCTCCCGGGGTCCGGGGATACTCCAGATTTCGTAATAAAGGGAGGGGGGTTCATTTCGGGGGGGGGTCTCTTCCAGGCTATCTTGGAGGGTCTAGGGGGTCTGGGGACGATGTTTTGGAGGGTTCTCCCACGGGGGAGGTCTGAAACGGCTTGTCTTGGAGGGTCCAGACCCCCTCCCTTTTATTACGAAATCTGGAGTATGCTGTTTCCACTCTTTCCAATTCCCTTCCGTCACGTCCCAGAGCCAGTCGACAGCAGCAGCCGGTTCCAGAGCCTGCGGAGGAGTAGCGATGCGGGCGGGTCCAGCTCGGAAGTGCGCAGGGCGAGGAAGCGTCAGGGGAGGAGGAGAATGGGCACGGGGAAGGGGAAGCGCAGTGCGAAGAAGGGGTAGGCGAGGATGGGTTGGGGAAGCGTTTCTTGCAGCGCGGCCACCATCACTGGCGGCGTCGAGATCTCCGATCCCACAAACGCTGAGCGAAGGCCGGAAGCTTGGTGAGGGAGCTTTTGCCCAGGCGGCTGGAGTGGAGAAGAACGGCGAAGAAAACTGATAGAGAGAAAGAGAGAGAGAGAGAGGGAGAGAGAGAGAGAAACAACACATTGCACTCGTGCGGCATAATATCCTAAACAGCTGCACACACTTACGATGGGGGGTCACGATGGGGGATGACGACGGGGATCCCGATGGGGGCCACCCACGATGCGAATCGGGATAGGGATTGGGGTAGCTATAGTCCGAGGGGTCTGGGGATGTATGGATCAGGATCATCGGGATGGAGATAGGGATAGGAACATAGGATAGGGACATGAACAAAAAAGATAGGGACAGAGGCAAATGTACTTGGATGGAGATAGGGATAGCGATAGGATAGGGACACGGGTAGGCATGGACAGTGAGAGACAACGGGAGGCAACGGGAAACCATGGGAGACAGCTGGAGACAATGGGGGGCCACTGGGAGACAGCGCCGCCCGGCCGATTCTGGAGCCAGCAGGCCACCCACTCGCCCGATAGAAGCATCCTCCAGAAGGCCCTACGCAGACCAGCTGTCTGAGGACATCTTCCCCGCACCGCTCGCAGCATCGCAGCCAGGGTATAGGGCCCCGCGGGGGAGTGCAGAATCGGTTAGCAGCAGAGGAGGCAGCGCCGACTCTTGGCGCACACGGGCAGCAGCCCGTTTTTCATCCCTGGACGTGCTCTTGACGGTCCCGGGGCCAGGCAGACCCCCAGAGGCCGAAAACTATCGAAATTTTCCGTCGTCTTTTTGTTGCACGGCGCGAGGGGTTCGGGGCCCTCTTGCTCCGCCCGTCCAGTGGGTCTCGGCATCGCCGTGTACGCCGTGGCGCTGATGCCGCACATCCCCGGCCGCTTCCTGCTGCTGCTCTCCGCCACGCTGCTGATGCTGCACGGCGCGAGCTCGTGGGCCGCACGCACCATCTCTGGCAGGTGGCGCGGAGCCTCCCTTCGGCGGCATCGGAACTCACCAAGCGCGCTCCACCAATCGCAAAGGGCCCACTCGCCAACATCAGAACAGAACTCAAAATCTTCCCGTATGTGATTCGGGGAGCAAAAAGGGACATGAACATAATAACTCTGAGGTCCGCGCGGATTCCTCGGATCGGCGCTGGGACCCCCCGGCGGCGCCTCCGGCGCCGCCACTGGCGCCCTCCGCGTGCCAGGGAGGGGGGTCCAGCGCCGAGTTTTTATGTTTACGCCACTTTTTGTTCCCCTAGTGATGGATCGTAACCCCCCCGGCGGCGGATCCAGGCCATTTGTGAGCAGTTGCTTTGCGAGTAGTGGGGCGCGGTTGTCTAGTAACGGGTACTCCTGAACCAGGATTTGTTGTGGACATTTGCCGAAAGTTGCCACTTCAGGGGCCCTTTCTGGCACTGCAGCGTTGCCCACATCGGGAGGGGTTGGGATCGCCGGGTCCTTGGCCAGAGTACCCGCTAGTGGAGTCCCCCGTGAGAGGGGCGTGGATTCCGCCCTCCAGCAGCCCAGAGCTCGCAGGCCTAGAGGTTGACACCAACACCAATATCGGCGGTGCCCCTCCACCGAGGAAAGAAGATCCCGATCTCGGTGATGGTGGTAATATTCTGGCTTCAAGGTGACCGAAATCTTGCCACCAACACCGAAATCTAGGATCATCTCTCCCCTGTGGAGGCAGCCCCCTGTCTTGGTGTTGGTGCCTATTTCCAGGCCTCCAAAGAGCTCACGAGCGCTGGAGAACCTTCAGTTCGGAACTTTTTTTTGCCGTCCTCAGCCCCTGGGGACATGGCCAGGCCCCAGGACTGCCAACAAAAGACCTCAGGGTGAAGATCAGGAGAGGACAAATACACGCAGACACAATCATAATCGTCAACTCCCCAGAAAAAATATTCGAAAATATTGGAAGAAGTGGGGGGGGGAGACAAAAGCCCAGAAAATACATGAACATATGGCAGATCCGGTTATTTGTGCCTGTTTATTTGTGTGTCCCAGGGCCCCTTCAGAAGAGCCGGCCCTGGTCAAAGGGTCGGGGACCTCGGGGAACCCGTAATTATCGAACCCAGAAAATAAATGAACATATGGGAAATCCGGCTATTTGTGTCTGTTTATTTGTGTGTCCCAGGGCCCCTTCAGAGGAGCCGGCCCTGGTCAACGGGTCGGGGACCTCGGGGAGCCCATAATTATTGAGCAGAAGCCGGGCGCCGGATGCCGGCAGCAGCCAAATTCGGCCAGGCTGACCTCGGCTCGGCTGAACTCCAACGACGCGAAGCTCGGGACAAAATCGGATCGGGATGACTCGAAATCTCTGAGAATCGGCGGGTTTGGAGGATGTATTGGGCGCCGCGGCCGCTGCAGAGCGCTCCGGAACGCTCTGAGAGCGCTCCGGAACGCTCTGGCGCGATTTCTCCCGATCCTGGCCCTGTTTTTATGAATTCGGCCAGGCTGAACTCGGCCAGGCTGAACGTCCAGGCTGAACTCGGCCAGGCTGAGCTGTGCAGGGGCTGAGTTCGGCCCGGGCCGAGTTCAGGCTGGCCGAGCTGGGCGTCGCGTAAGAGCTCGTTTGTTCTGTTCCGCGGTAGCGGCCGTCACGGGTCCCGGGCCCCTCCCCCCCCAGGTAGCGTCACGTCCCGCGCCGGCGGCGTCCAGGAATTCCCAGGGATGACCGAGGCCAAGTAGGAGCAGCATGTAAGTGGCGATCTGCACCACAGCGCCTGTGTACACCACGGTGCTCGCGTGCACCACGGCGTGCGTGTGCACCACAGCGCCTGCGTACACCGCAACAGCTGTGTGCAACGCAGCGCCTGTGTACACCACAGTGCCTGCGTGCACCACAGCGCCTGAGTACACCACAGCGAATGTGTGCACCGCAGCAGCCGTCTGCAACACAGCGGCTGCTTACATCACAATTCTTGTGTGCACCGCAACGCCTGTGCACACCACTGCCTGTGTGTACACCACAGCATCCGCGTGCAACGCAGCGCTGGTGTACACCACAGTGCCTGCGCGCACAGGATAGGTGGCAGGAGCGTGTCGGTGAGGACCTGTTGCGGACAGCTAAACATCGCGCAAGGGGAGTGCTGATAATAGTATACGATTATCTTCCCTTCTCCCTCCGCCTCCTCCTCCGCCTCCTCCTCCTCCTGCCTCGCCCTTCCCACCGTCGTGCGGGTCGGCGCTACAGCGCACGTGAACATCGCGGTGTGCATCCCTGGGAAATCGTTTGTTGAATCAACGCGCTTGGTTCTCGGACGGCCATTCTGCGGGAGCTTTTTGGACGCAAATGACATAAGTTAGGATGGTGCGAGGGGGCTCGGTAGGACGCGTAGATTCCGGCGGCGCTTCTTGTTCTATGAGGATTGTTTTCCAAACCCGATATAATACAATTGCTTTTGGTGGATTCCACAGGCGTTCCACTATGTCAAAAAGATTCCAGTTCAAGTTCGGTATGGAACAATAGCGGTATGTTGCACACGGTTGCTGTGGTGCACAAAGGCGCCGTGGTGTACACAGGCGCTGCGTTGCACGCAGGCAGTGTGGTGTACACTGGTGCTGTGTTGCACATGGCTGCTGTGGTGTACATCAGCGCTGTGGTGTACACAGGCGTTGTGGTGCACGCAGGCACTGTGATTTGCATTGGCGCTGTGGTGCAGATCGCCACCTAGAGTATGCTCCTACCCGTCCTCGGTCATTTCGGGGCATTCCAAGACACGGTCGGCGCGAAACGTGACGTCACCGGCCCCCTCCCCTCCCCCCGGTGACGCTCGTTATCGCCCCAACATGTGTATATATGTATACATACGTATGTAGGTACGCACATATCAACTAAATGCATGCATGTATGTCTGTGTGTGAAATTCCGTAAGTGCATGCCTGTCTGTCTGTCTGTCTGTTTGCCTGTCTGTCTGTCTGTCTGTCTGTCTGTCTGTCTGTCTGTCTGTCTGTCTGTCTGTCTGTCTGTCTATATCTCTGTCTGGTTGTATGTAAGTAAGTAAGTATGCATGCATGCATGCATGTATGTATGTATGTATGCATGTATGTATGCATGTATGTATATATGTATGTGTGCATGTATGCATGTATGCATGTATGCATGTATGCCTGTATGTATGTACGTATGTGTTTATGTATGTATGTATGTATGTATGTATGTATGTATGTATGTATGTACGTATGTATGCATGTGTGCTTAAACGTATGTATGTATGTATGTATGTATGTATGTATGTATGTATGTATGTATGTATGTATGTATGTATGTATGTATGTATGTATGTATGTATGTATGTATGTATGTATGTATGTAATGTATGTATGTATGTATGTATGTATGTATGTATGTATGTATGTATGTATGTATGTATGTATGTATGTATGTATGTATGTATGTATGTATGTATGTATGTATGTATGTATGTATGTATGTATGTATGTATGTATGTATGTATGTATGTATGTATGTATGTATGTATGTATGTATGTATGTATGTATGCGGCTGGCCTCGGCGATATTTTTGGGTCAGCGATGCGTTGTCCCAGGCCGGTCGATGTTCTCCAACGTGGTAGATGTGGACGAGACCATGATACACGTCGTGTTCTCGCAGACTCGGGGGGCGGCCTGGTTCTAAGCTGTCCGGGGCATACATCTGGGCGGTTGGGCCTGATACCTCTGCAGAAAAGACTCTAACTTACGTCCCCTCCCAAAGGGCTAGGGGTACTCTATCTCCACAGCGGCCGCCGGCGCGCCCGCCGCGCCAGGTCCCAGAAGGCGGCGGAGGCCGCAGCGGGCGCGGAGGGCGGCGTGGGCGCGGGGCCGGCCGAGGAGGGCAACGACTGGAAGCGGCACCCGCCCAGTCGCAGGATGGCAAGAAGGAGGAGGAGAAGGAGAAGGGGGAGGAGGAGGAGGAGGAGAGGGAGGAGGAGGAGGAGGAGGAGGAGAGAGGAGAGGAGGAGAGGAGAGGAGGAGGAGGAGGAGGAGGAGGATGGGGAGGAGGAGGGAGAGAGGAGAGGAGGAGGAGAGGAGGGGAGGAGATGAGGAGAGGAGGGAGGATGGGGAGGAGGAGGAGGAGGAGGAGGAGGAGGAGGAAGAGAAGCAGAAGGAGGAGGAGGAGGAGGAGGAGGAGGAGGAGGAGGAGGGAGGATGAGAGGGGGAGGGGAGGAGGAGGAGGAGGAGGAGGAGGAGGAGGAGGAGTAGGAGGAGTAGGAGGAGGAGGAGGAGTAGGAGGAGGCGGAGGAGGAGGAGGAGGAGGGGAGGAGGAGGAGGAGGAGGAGGGGGAAGAGGGGAGGAGGAGGAGGAGGGGAGTAGGAGGAGGAGGAGGAGGAGGAGATGAGGAGAGGAGGGAGGAGGAGGAGGGAAGGAGGAGGGAGAGAGGAGGAGGAGGAGGAGGAGGAGGAGAGGAGAGGAGAGGAGGAGGAGGGAGGAGGAGGAGAGGAGGAGAAGGAGGAGGAGGAGGAGGAAGGAGGAGGGAGGAGGAGGAGGAGGAGGAGGAGGAGGAGGAGGAGGAGGAGGAGGAGGAGGAGGAGGAGAGGAGAGAGGAGGAGGAGGAGGAGGAGGGAGGAGGAGGAGGAGGAGGGGGGGAGGGGAGGGGAGGGGGAGGGGGAGGAGGAGGAGGAGAGGAGGGGAGGAGGAGGAAGGAGGAAGAGAGAGGAGGAGGAGGAGGAGGAGAGGAGGAGGAGGAGGAGAGGAGAGGAGAGGAGGAGGAGGAGGAGGGGGGAGGAGGAGGAGAGAGGAGGGAGAGGAGGAGGAGGGAGGAGGAGGAGAGGAGAGGAGGGGAGGAGGAGGAGGAGGGTGAGGGGGAGGAGGAGGGGGAGGAGGAGGAGGAGGAGGAGGAGGAGGAGGAGGAGGAGGAGGAGGAGGAGGAGGAGGAGGAGAAGCAGGAGCAGGAGGAGGAGGAGGAGGAGGAGGAGGAGGAGGAGGAGGAGGAGGAGGAGGAGGAGGAGGGGCCTGCGGCCGTCGGATGGCCAGTCCTCGGGCGCACCTCGCCATCGAGGATAAGGGAGCCTCTAGCCCTAACAAATATAGTAGCATCGTGAAGACGCGGCCTCATTTAGGACCCCGCTTTTTGCACTCGGGACAGTCGCAGTGGGCGGTCCAGTCTTGTACATCTGCAGGTAAGACCCCCTATCCCTAATGTGTTCGGCCCTTCCTCACTTAGGTCACATCCCCAAGGCTTAGGGGTCCTGTTGTTTCTGATCATCTCGGCCGAAGTCAGAGCGGAGGTGCTCTGAACAGCCTGCCCGTGCGGGTTCTCAAATGGACAGAACTCTCCGAACGGCCCCCTGCGGGAGACAGGCCCCCGGAACATCGGCGGACATACCTTGGCTCCCATCGTGGTGGGGCTGCTTGTAGGATCTTCTTCCGCCCCGGTGTCTGTGCAGGAGAGAAAAAACACACAGACACAATTAATCGTCGATTCCCCAGAAAATATTGGAAAATATGGGAAGTGGGGGGGAAGACAAAAACCCAGAAAATATGGGAAAATATGGGGGATAGTTTTATTTGTGTGTATTTATTTGTGTGTCCCAGGGCCCCTTCATCTGTGCTTGTTTCCTTTTCGGCGTCATGGGGGCCGCCTTCGGTCACCGAGGGTTCCGCCAGGCAGATCCGCTCCGGCACGAACGGCCGGTCCCGGGGGAGCTGTCGGGATGCCCGTGGGCCCCGCACCGAAGACAGTCCTTCGGGGCCGCTTTGTGTAGAGTCGTTGGGCGAGGAGGGGAGAGGAGGACCCAAGGATGGAGGGGAGGGAAGAGGGAGGGGTACGAGGTGGGGATTCATCCAACACCACCGCCTGAGGGATCTCACAGGGAGCTCCACTTAAGGCCTCTGTGGTTACGCCCCGCATGTCGCCACCACCCCACTTCGGCCGACCCCCTTGTGCGCTACGTGGCCCCATAGGGAGCTCCACGTAAGGCCCCAGTGGTTTTTCCAAAGTGGGGCGGTGGCGTCATACGGGCACAACCACTGGGGCCTATAGGTGGAGCTCCCTATGGGGCCACGAAACGCGTGAGAGGTGCGCCACAGTGGGGTGGTGGCGGCATGAGGGCGCAACCACTGGGGCCTCAGGTGGAGCTTCCCTTGGGGCGACGAGGCGTGCGAGCAGTGCGCCAAAGTGGGGTGGTGGCGGCACGCTTTCGCAACCACTGGGGCCTCATGCGGAGCTCTTTATGGGGCCACAAGACGCGTGAGGGGTGTGCCAATGTGGGGTGGCGGCGGCATGCGTTCGCAACCACTGGGGCCTTAGGTGGAGCTCCCTGTGGGGCCACGAAGCTTGCGAGGATGTGCCAAAGTGGGGTGGTGGCGGCATGCGGGCGCAACAACTGGGGCCGTAGTTGGGGCTCCCCAATTGGGCTACGGAACGCGTGAGGGATGTGCCAAAATATGGTGGTGGCAGCATGCGGGCGCAACCATTGAGGCCTTAGGTGGAGCTCCCTATTGGGCAAAGGCGAGTACGGGGGTGCGCCAAATTGGGGTTGTGGCGGCATGTGGGCCCAACTACTGGGGCCTCAGGTGGAGCTTCCTATGTGATTACGAAACGCGTGAGGGGTGTGCGAATATGGGGTTGCGGCGACATGCGAGCGCAACCACTGGGCCTTAGGTGGAGCTTCCTACAGGGCCACGAAGCGTGCGAGGGGTGCGCCAAAGTCGGGTGGTGGCGGCAAGCGGGCTCAACAATCGGGGCTTCAGGTGGAGCTACCTACAGGGCCATGGAACGTGTGAGGGGTGTGCCAAAATAAAATAGTGGTGGCATGCGGGGCCTCACGTTGAGCTCCCAATGGGCATACAAAGCGTGTTAGGTGTGTGCCGGGAGCAGGAGGGAAGAGGAGGAGGAGGAGGCGGAAGAGGAGGAGGAGGAGGAGGAGGAGGAGGAGGAGGAGGAGGAGGAGGGAGACGCGCACCCGGATGAGGAGGAGGAGGGAGAGGCGGAGGAGGAGGAGGAGGAGGAGGAGGCGGAGGAGGAGGAGGAGGAGGAGGAGGAGGAGGAGGAGGAGGGAGAGGCGGAAGAGAGGAGGCGCTGCGGATTGGAAACGAGGATCCAATTCAGCACATGCTTGTTGGGAAAAATGCAGATGATACCAAAGGTTTTGGTAAGGAAGCCCCCTTTGAGTACATGTATAATCGAGCTAATTTCATGTTTTCTGGAGACGAGCGCTCCTCCTTCTCCTCCTGCTTCTTCTCCTTGTTCACGCGCCCCCCCCCCAAGAGCGCCAGTCTCCAGAAAGCGTAGGATTGTATTGATTTTGTATGTCGTCGCACGGTTTCCTTAGCATCACCGTTTAAACTAATGTGGAATCAATATGTATGTATATCTGTGTATATATATACAAATATGTATATATGTAGGCGCTGGCGTATTTCCCCCCTGCTGAAATCGACGACCAGCCAGCAAAGTCCTTCACCGTCAAAGCCCAAAGTGTGATCGGTTTGGCATTCGTTCTGCCCTTCTGGCGGTTGCGCAACGCGGTCTCCACCTTGGCGGCAGGCCAACCGAAGATTTTCGACCCTTCTCGGTTGACTTCCGTGTCGGCCCATTCCAGGAATTGATTCTTGTTGTTGTTGCGGGGGCCGTGGTCACGAATGAACGCGTAGCCTTGCTCGCGCTCTTCCGCCTCAAGCGGCTGCTTACGCTCGCGCATCGGCTTGATCGTGGAGTACCTTGCAGCGGAGGTTTTGGAGAAGGGTGCCTTGAGTGAGGAACCCAGGGCGTCGCGGCCGATGGACGCCACGTTCCGAAGCAGGGAGGAGTGCGCCAGAAGTGACAACCCGGAGGGCCACCCTCACCTAAGCCACCCCCCCTACCGTATTTGCTAGCCCTCGAGCTTTCCCAACGTGAGCTGGAAAGCAGTCGCGCCCGCCCTGAAGTCCTTGCCATAGTCGATCTTGTGGGCCCCCCCGCGAGCGCAGCTCAGGACGGTTGCGACGTCGACTGTGTTTTTGTCGAAGCTGACAACCTTCAGGACGCGGTAGGTCGAACAGTTGTTGTCCTCGGGGTGCTGACGCACGATGAACAGCTGCATCGTGTACGGTACGACAGGCTCTTTCGTGAGGGACAGAGTGGGCTGCAACTCCTTGTACCGACCATGGCTGCACAGCTCGTGGACGTTCTCGAAGTCAATGGGGCCCTCGTAGTTGGACACGACGCCAGCGAAGACAACCAGCTTCGTAGAGCTCGAGCGTGAGATCTGCGCCAGTGGGAGGTCGAAAGTGGTGATGAGATCCCCGGCGAAGGACAGCCTGTTCTTCTTGATGCACTCTGCGGGGTGGTAGTCCCACTTGCTCCCGCTGACCATCAGGCTCGCCTCCTCGAAGGTCAGCTTCCCGTCGCCCAAGGCGTCGTGTGCGACCTGCCCCAAAGTGTAGGGGGCCACATGCGAACCCTACCCCATACCCCCGACGATTTCTGGGGGGGAGGGTGGGGTTCGCTTCGCTCGGGAGCTCCCGAACGAAGGGAACCCCACCCCCTCCCTCTCAGAAATCGTGGGGGGTAGGGGGCAGGGCTCGCATGTGGCGACCCAAAGTGGGCACCTGCTCTTCACGGGGCGCTTGCCGTGACGGGCGAAGCGAGCATGGCGGCGCGGGCGGGGGTCTGGGCGGGCGGGCGAGGCCGCGCCTCGTGCAGCTCGCTGCCCGGCGTGGTTTGAGCTCAGATCGCCGCAGACACAAACTTTCGACAGGAAAAAGACTCGAGAAGGAGGAGGAGGAGGAGGAGGAGGAAGAGGGGGAGGAGGGGGAGGAGGAGGAGGAAGAGGGGGAGGAGGAGGGGGAGGAGGAGGAGGAGGGCAAGACGGACAGGAGGGCGACCGCACTGGCAAAGGGTGACTGGCAATAGTGGTGGTACCGGTGG